TTTGCAATTAAATATGCTATTTCGATTTTTATTTTTGATAGAACAATTCTATTAAAAAATGTTTTGGTGCATTTCAGATGTTTGAAAAATATTTTAAGTAATTATTGCATTTAAATGTCACGTGTGCCGAAGTCCCCCATAGGAAAATATTTTTAGTATTTTTTGCATTTCAATTTCTATGAAAATTATTTTTAGTATTTTTGCATTTCAGATTTTTTGAAAAATATTTTAATAATTATTGCGTTTCACGATTTGCAAAATAATTAAAGGAATATTGCATTTCAATTTCTATGAAAAAATATTTTAGGAAATATTGCATTTAAAATGAAAGTGTACCATAGTGACCCCTATACTACTGATATATAATTGATATTAGTGTTGGGATTCCTGGGCTATTTTTTTTTTTAAACGCCGAGCCCAAGAGTATTGTCATTCGATTCACCACGGAGTAACGAGTATACTAAAATCAAAACAGGTATCACTCAAATCAAAAATCACAATATACAAGGTAATTATCAGACCAGTCCTTCTATATGCGTGTGAAACATATATGTACCAGTCCTGGCGCACCTCATAATATATCAGTAAAAGATCACAAAGAAAACAATGTGCAAAAAGATCAGAAAATTGAAATGCAATAATAATTAAAAAAATTTTTCGCAAAACTTATGAAATGCAATAATAATAAAAATATTTTTCGCAAAACTTATTAAATACACCCAAAATATTTTTCATAATACTTATGATATTAATAATTAAAATCGAAATGTAATATAGTGTATTAAAAAATATTTTTTAATAGAATTGTTCTATTAAAAAAAAGTCTAACAACAAACTAGTGAACATTAAATTTCAAACCAATTATTCATTATATGATTCGCTAATTCATTATGAATTTTCTTAAAATAATCAAATAATTTCTTAAAATTGTTTTTGTAACGATTGTAACTATACTTATTATCATAAGATTGATATAAAGATGATACATGAGTTTCTAAATTATACATAGATGATTCAATTTCTGATAACTCTTTTAGTATATTTTTATATCTTTGGATCATATCTAAAAGTTTTTTACAATTTTCCATTTCTATTATTTATGTTAGTAAAAAAAATTTTTTTTTAACATTGTTCTATTAAAAATATTTTTCTAATCTTTTTGATTTTGATTTCTAATCAATGTATTGAGATGGTTTACAAAATCATTTCTATCTATATTTGTTTTATAATGTCCCCAAGCTAATGTATCAATACCATTTTCCAAAATAAATCTTTTATCATCATACACACTTAGAGCTTTTTTGTTTTGTTCTACAGTAAAAATATCATGTTTTTTAGTTCTAAATAAATTTTGTTTAACATATTTTGATTCTTTTGTTAGTAAACATTTTTCAAAATCATTAAAACATATTTTATTTTGTACAACATTTTTTTTAACACCTTTAGCTTTTTTAATTTCTTTTTCAGTATCTAAGATTCGATGAGAATATAATTTAGATCTTAAACCTATAAATTCAGACATTATTTTTCCATTTAACTCATCTTTAAACTTGCCTAAAACTTTTTTGTTAACTAAAGGTAAACCATAAATATTATCTTTTGGATAATCTGATGTGTCAAAATGATCTAACATAATTTTCATATCTTGATAAAAATCATTAGTTTTTATTTCTAATATTAGTGAATCTGTATCTGTATATAACAATCTAACTCTATTTCCATATTTTTTCTTTATAATATTATAATAAAAATCATACATTAACATTTTAGATAAATCTAAAATACACATTCCTATATATATTGGTTGTTTGAAAGATATTTGTGTTCTTTTCATATGTACGGCAGCTAAATTTTCTGTAAAAATTGTCCTTCGGTCAAAATTTGGTTTTGTAATTAATTTTTCTAGTTGGTATGCATTAGAACATAATCTTATATCAACATGATTTCTAACATTCATCATAGTACGTCCATAAACACTATTATTCATTAATTTGAAAAATTCTTTTTCAAACTCATTCTTAGCTTCTGATCTAAGATTAGTATTAAAATCAATATAAACTTTTAACCAAGGAGATTGACTAAATTCTAATACTCTATGAATTTTCTCTATCTTTAAACCTAAATTAATATATAATTTTAGTGTTTCATAATGTAGGTATTATATATTTTTTCTTATCATACAAAGTTGTTAATAATTTTGGAAGTTGTTTGTTATCAAAATGTCTTTCTGGTGCTAAAGGGAAATCTGAATGTAGATCATGGAGTTCTTTAGGGTAAGATAAATCGACTTCTAAAATATAACCTTTACATGATTTATCAGAAATATTCATTACATCAAAATCATTCAGATTATCAACCCATTTGAAATCTCCAGTAGGTAAATATTTACTCATTGCCCACCCATAAAGATTATTTGCATCCAAGTATTCTAAAAATATTGATTCCTCCTTTTTTTTAAATTTATCTCCCATGTATTTATTATTTGCTTTTGAATATCTTTGACTGCATTGAGATAAGCCACCTCTGATTCCAGATTCAAACATCAATATTTGATCTATATCTGTTAATAAATCTAATTTTACTTTTGTCATTCTTAACATGCAATCCCACGCAAATCCTGGTGTTGTGTAATACCACATAGGATCTAATTTATAATTTTTTAAAGAAATATCTCTAAAATTTTCTATTATATCTGTTAATAATAAAACATCGATCTTATTATATAAACTAGTGAATTCACGCATATTTTGTATATTAAACACTTTCCAAATTTTCTGTGAGTTTTCATATTCCTCTTTAGTTATATTTTTATCTGTGAGAGAACTATAAAATTTTTCAATAGGAGGTAAACATGTTTCATTAAATTTTTCTTTACAATCCATATACTCATAGGGATATGCTAACTTTCTAGTAACTAAATCTAAATGTTCTTCAGGAAAATATTTACTAAGTTCTTTAAATTTATTTTTTAAATTTAATTTCGAATCATTTCTTAAATTATTTGTTAACTTTTCTAAAGAACTAGGTAAAAATTTGAATGAATCAATAAATCTTAATTCTGTACATATTTTTATGTCTTTACCTTTCCTATTTACTTCACGTGACATCATTTTTGAAAAAGAAATATATTTTTCCTCATTATTTGAGATTAATTTTATTTTTTCATTATCATTCCCAAATTCTTTTATAAATAGATGGGCATCATAACCTGAAAGATTGTGAAAAACAATTGGAATAAAACATGGATTTTGGTAATTAAGATTACATATAGAATGTGCTGCTCCTCTATATTCTCCAGTTAAGTGGTCATGATCAAGAACTTTTTTCATATTTATTTTTTTATTTTTTGTTTCTTCATTAAGTTTATCTTCAAATGATTTAATACGATACTTCTCAGCATTACATTTTTTATAATATTTAATAGTGTCAATAATTATTTTAAATTTTTTCTCTAAAACTGGAGGTAATTCATCTAAACATCTTTCACAAATATGACATTTATCAGATTTATTATAATTATTTAATTGTTCTGCATTCAATGTTTCCATAGGAACTATTTTATCATATAATTCAGAAATAAGTATTTCTTCATCTTTCATACAATCATAAAATACTTGAGCTACGTTTGGACCAGAATATTCTACAGGAGGTTTATAATCACCATTACTATATTTAATATAATAACAAAAATTATTAGGTATATGTTTCTGATAACATTTTGTAAAAGACTCTGTATCATTTGGTTGACAAGTGTATATTGGTTTAAGTGTACATTCAAAGTCAGCATAAATCAGTAGTATATATTTGTATGTTCACAGCCAGC